ACTCACTCACCTTGAGATAATCGTGGAGAATAATCTTGGTGATGTGCTCTTGCTGTTCTCCAGTCAATTGGTAGCAACAACTGTGAAGTGTCTCCACGTTCAAGCCGGGTATCTTCTCGTTCATGGTAGACGCCTTCAGATTTGAGGCGAATTTGCTCTCTTCACTGGACAGTTGATCTACAGTGACAGATGTATCATTCTGAACGATTTCATCGATCAGTTGTCGAAAACGGACAACGATCCGTTGTACATTAATATTAACCAGAAAGGTTCTATCGATTTGGGTGATCAGTTGTTGAGCTCGTTCGAATCGTGTTGATCGTCGCTGGAGAAGTAACACAATGAATGCAGATTGCTTATCGATTTTAAATGCTGATTGAAGTCTGGCGGATGAGCGAAGTTGATTGAAGAAGAATGAAGTAAGAAACGAATCGATTTGAGGTAAACGCCATGGATCTTCGAAAGATGCAGTCAATAGACTTGTCATCGTACTGACGAGATATTTCGAGATCAACTTAGGAAAGATACTCGAGACGAGAATCTCTGCCAGCAAAGTGCGTGCCATTGGCATTGATCGAGACAATGATGGACCGTCGTAAGAACCACTGTCATTGTTTGAATAGCATCTAAACGAGATTTTTATTGTGCAAAAAATGAGAACCGAGTAGATTTTTCTCTTACCGTTTGATAATGTTGTAGGAGAACTCTTGTAATTTGTCTCGTTCATCCTTGTTTTGATGATGTTCAGCTCGTGTGAGCAGTGCGAAAGCATAGGAAACAATAATCTTTAGGGTGGTCGATGTCTTTTGCAAATGATTGAATGCCAAATTCAGAATGGCTTCGATCGTCTCCAAATTATATGGTACTACTTGGAGTTGAAATTGATTATTGTAAGTGCAAAGAGACTGAAGAAACTGTTCGATGACCATCAATTGTTCGTTGGCAAATCGTTTTTCAATCCACTGAAGAACTTTTCGAACATTTTCTTGATTTGTTGCAATGGCACATTCGAGGAGAAGTGGATAGTTCAGTGCACGTTGAGTGACATCCGAACCGGTCTGTTTGAAAAGAGATAAGAATTGATCGAAGATCTCGGTCGTCATTTGTTCGTAGCGAAGAAGAGATAAACGTTGTTTCGCTTGGACAACATCCGAACGCTCGAGTTGAGAGAGGAGATGACGAGAAAGCGGTGTACTCAATTCAGGATATCCGGCGAGTCGACAAAGACTACTTTCGTTTCCTTGTTTGAATAGTTTCTTCAAAAATTCTTCCTTGCCAATCCGTTCTTGAACGACAATGTCAAAGAACCATTGGCGACGTTTTCGAACGGCGTAGAGACCCGTTCGCTCGTTGATCCATACGGGCAACATGTATTTAAGAATACAAATAGTGTGATTCAATGACCATTTGTTCGTATCATACAAAGCGAAAAAGAGACGAACGTAGTGATCGACAGAGAATGAACGAGGAAACGAAGAGTAATTGAGATTAGACTCTGAAGTGCTCCATCGTGATTGATATATGATCGAACCTGAAAATGAGACAAAGATGAACCAGTGATGAAAGTCCACCCCTTGAACTGACCTGGTTGATGGGCAGTGGCCAAGGTGATCAACTCGATCATCTCATCTGGAGCTTTGTCAAACATTCGTTTTATTGCTGATTCGACAAAGTGGGGCAAAAGTCGTTTGTGCGTTTCCAATCGCTTCATATATTCGATCGCAAAATAACACATGACCTTTGGGTGCCGGCGAGCAAGGATATGGAACATCTGTTGATTTTCTCGAAAGTATGCCATGAGCTGCTCTTCATTTGTGTATTTCAGAGATAGATCACCTTGAATCAATCGAATAACAACGAGAGGTTGATAGCGAACTAATTTTGAACGAAGTGGAGACGAACGATCGATTTGATCGAAACGGGAAAGTGACCAGCAAGAGAGAAGATCCGATATTTGATCCAATGATGAACAGTAGGGTAATGTATGAAGATCGATATTAAATTGATCGTGATCAAACGATTGAGTCAACGTACGGCCCAGATCGTAGTAGAATGAAGGAGAAAATTTCTTTGAACGACATGCGTTGTGGAGACACTTCAGCACTTTATGTTTCAACCTAAACATATCTCATTGTCTTCAACGAACACACATTTCAAATGATAGAACTTACAGTCGTGGAACAATCGTGTCCTTGACTGTATTGATCACAAATTGTTGCACTTGTTTTTCTACCACCTTTTGTATCAGCTTGAGCACGATCTACTGCCCATATTCGATCGTTTTGAGAAT